GAAGAGAGGAGAGGAAAAGTAGACTGCTTCTTAGAAACCGCCGGCCCTACATCTACAGACGAAACCCGCGCCTCCTAAGCAGCAGGGGTGTTTCTAAGAAGCCTATCCCCCTCCCCCTACCCCCCTTCTGCGGCCGCACATCTACAGACAAGGCCCGCGCCTCCTAGGAAGCAGGGGTGCTTCTAAGAAGCCCTCCCCCCTCCCTCTTAGCCCCCTCTGCGCGTGGCCGAACCCGCTCCCCCGGGAGCCGCCTGCCCCCCCGGCCGGCGGAAGCTCCCGGCGCTGGCGGCGGCGGGGCGGGGGGGAGGAGGACGTCGCGCAGTGGGGGGCTGCAGCAGAAAAGGGGCCCTCTGGGGCCCAAGAGGGGGGCCCTCGGGGCCCGTCACGTGCACCTGTCTTCCCCGTCCCTCATTGATCGCCCCCCCCCCATCAAACCGCGCCCAACCCGCAGAGCGGTGACCTCCTCCGGGGAGGAGGGCGTCGCGCAGTGGGGGCTGCAGAAGAAAAGGGGCCCTCTGGGGCCCGAGAGGGGGGCCCTTGGGGCCCCGAGACGTGCCCCTGTCTTCCCTGGACAAGCGCGCTCCACTGCCCGCAAGGTAACTACTCGCAAGCGGCCTGGATCCGCCGCGGGGGATTCACGAGACACTGCGTCGAGGCCGACACCGGCTTGCCGGACTGGTGCGAGCAGGCACTCTGCGAGCAGTGGAACGCGCTCGGTGATTCCCCGCCCCCCATCGACGCCCCCCTCCCTCCAGCGACGCCCCACCCGCAGGGCGGTGACCTCCCCCAGTGGCGCCGCCCGCCCCTCCCCCCCCGGCGGGCCGGGAGGGGGCCTCGGCCGCCTCGGCGCGGAGCTCCCGGCGCTGGCGGCGGCGGGGGCGGGGGGGGAGGGCGGCGGCGACAGCTGGGCCGGGGCGGACCCCCGCGCCTGCCCCCCACGGGGAGGGAGAGGGGTCGAGGGGCGAGGGGGGTCGAGGAGCGAGGGGGGTCGAGGAGCGAGGGGAGGGGGGGATCGAGGAGCGAGGGGGAGGCGGATGGAGGATCGAGGGGGGAGGGGGGGGGGGGAGGGCGCTCAGGGAGGGTGAGGGGGATCGAGGGCCGAGGAGGGGAGGAGCGAGGGGGATCGGGGATCGAGGATCGAGGAATCGAGGGCAGGCGGCGTGGGAGAGCGAGGGCCCCCGACCGCGTGGCTCCAGCTCGGGCGGAAAGGGGAGGGGGGGGGAGGGGGAGGGGGGGAGTGGGGCGCGCGGGTCTTGTTGCAACCAGAGCGACGATTGTTCTACCGGATAGATAATTTCTGCCCCCGACCAACCTTGCATCTCTGGGCACGTTCTTTTGGGGGAGGCAACTGGCGGGCCTTCTCATGTACATGTGTATTGCGCAGCCACTCTTATCTGGCGAAATCGCCCTGCACAGACGTGAAGGCCGCGCATCTATCTCGGAAGCATGTTGGTTGCTTGGTTGCAAACAAACTCGCCCTTGAAATTGAGAGACACGTCGCGCTGCGGCACATGGATCTCCAGGCAGGATCCTGATAAATAGGTGAGCCCACCAAAACTGTTTCAACATCGGAGTTCACACTGCACCTCGCCGACACGTCGGCGCTACCATTCGGCCACCCTGCGACCTACAACACCCTGCATCGCGACAAGGTAAAGTGCACCCATGCTCTCCCCTGCACCCTACTGTTTCCTGATATGATATGTTCGACAACACTCTACTCCATTGTTACATACCCTCGTCCTTCAGTACAACTTGCACCAAGCTCACGATGCTCCACGATGGCCGCCTAGAGTGTCTAGGATGAGCAAAGCTTCTCGGGCCAGGTCTCGGAAGCATCTCTGAGAGAATCTTCCCAAAGGCCTCCGAATAACCTTTCAACGGCCCCCCCGAAGCAACCCAGAAGCCTCTCGCAAGCCTATCGGGAACCTATCGGAAGCCTCCAGCAGCATCTCAAAGCCAACCAGGAGCCTCAAACATGCCACTCCTTGGTGCCTCTCTGGCTGTGACAAATCACTTCATTCATGGTTGGAATAAGCCTGTGCCTGGTGATGAAAAAGCCCCCTGCTGGTTGGAACACGCCCAGCCCGCACCCTTCGAAGGACAAGTTGGAACGCGTCTTCTGGCTATGAAGCGATCGACACCCTCTGCAGCGCCTGCTGCCCGTGGAGGGGGAGACAGAGGGCGAAGGGGAGGAGACGGAGGGGGGAGAGAGCGATGTGGAGCGATGATGGTGGCAGCGGCGGTGATGGTGATGATGGTGGTGACGATGGTGGATGCTGATGATGATCATGATGATGGTGATGATCATAGTTACGGTAGCGGTGGTGATGATTGTGATACTGAGGGGGGGCCGAGGATGACGATAGTATAGGTGGCGACGATGGTGATGATGAGGAAGAGGATGCGGAGGATGAGGACGCGGATCAGGCCGGAGATGTGGATGGTGATGATGTGATGGTCACGATGACAGGAGGAGGAGAAGGAGGGAGAGGGATAAGGGAGGAGGGAGGACGAAGGGAGGAGGGAGGAGGATGGAGAAGAAGATAGGAGGACGAGGCGGATGGGGGATGAGGCGGCAGAGCTAGCGGAGGAGTACACTGAAATCACGCGATGCGTTTCTCCAGCCTCCTCCTCCTCCCCTCCCCCTCCTCGCCCCCCTCCTCCCCCTCCTCCCCCTCCTCCTCCTGCAGCGTCCTCCTTCCCCTCCTCCCTCCTCCTCCTCCCTCCTCCTCCTCCTCCTCCTCCTCCTCCTCCTCCTCCTCCTCCTCCTCCTTCTCGCCCACCCTCCTCCCCTCCTCCTCCTGCCCCTCCTCCAGACTCCCTTCTCCAGCCTCTTCTTCTCTCCAGCCTCCTCCCTCCTCCCCCCCTGAAGGCCACAGAACAGGTCGGATCTGCCGGCGACGCCGCCCCCCTGCTGAGCTTCTCGGAGGCGCGACGACGGGGCAGGACGCGAGGGCCAGACCTCCAGCCTCCCTCCTCCTTCCCTGCCTCCCTCCTCCTCCTCCCTCCTCCTCCACCTCCTCCTCCTCCTCCTCCTCCACCTCCTCCTCCTCCTCCTCCTCCTCCTCCTCCTCCTGATCCCCCTCCTCCTCCTCCTCCTCCTCCTCCTCCTCCTCCTCCTCCTCCTCCTCCTCCTCCTCCTCCTCCTCCTCCTCCTCCTCCTCCAGCCCCCCCTCTTCCCCTGGGGAGGGGTGGCGGCGCGTCCACGGCTCCTCCAGTTCGGCGGCGAGCCGGCGATTCTGCCTCTCCACGTCCTGCAGCTCGGCCATTAGGGCCAGCTCCTGCACTGCCGCGCCCTCTCTAAGGTCCCCCTCTGGTCCTCCTGGTGTTGCTCATGCTGCTCTTGTCGACTTCTCATTTCTAGCAAAGTGCTCCTCCCCGGGCTCGCACCCTGCCTTTTTTATCAGGGACAGCTGGGTGTCACCAAACTGCGTTGTCGGGAATCGCGCCATCGCTCGAGACGTCCTCGCGATTTATGCGAGACTCACGCTTCTTCAGCCCGCCTGCTCGACCTGGAAGCCTGGGCCCGCCTTTCTGACCCGCCCGCTAGGGTCTGCCCGCCCGATCTTCCCGTCTGGTTGTGCCACGTGTGTTCTGCTCCTAGGCCCCCTCCTGCCAATTTCTCTCGTGCTCCCTCCTTCTCCCTCCCCCTTCCATCTGTGCTCTCTTCCCCTGTTCTAGGGTCTGCGCTAAATGCACGTGGCAGACAGGAAGAGATTCCCCTAAAAGGGCACGATCAAAAAAAGAGAGGGCGGGTACCGGAGGTTTGGGCTATACGTGTTGGATGGCACGCTAGCAGATAGGAGCGAACAGTCTTAAAGTGATTACTGGTGTTGCTACTGCTGCTGCTGCTGCTGCTGCTTCCCCTCCTCCTTCTCCTCCTCCTCCTCCTATTCCACCTACTCCTCATGCGCCTCCTCATCAGCATCATCATGGTCGTCGTTCGTCATCGTCATCGCAGTCATCCGAATAATAGTAGTCATAATGCTGATACTATTTTTATACTAATCTCATGGTAATAATAATGGTAATTACTATATTATGATCATCATCATCATCATCATCATCATCATCATCATCATCATCATCATCATCATCATCATCATCACCACAATCCTGATCATCCTCATACTCATCCTCATCCTCATCATCATCAGCATCATCATCATCCTCATAGCCCTCATCATCATCAACAACACCATCATCATCATCATCATCATCATCATCATCATCACCATCATCATCATCATCATCATCATCATCAGCATCATCCTCATCATCAGTATCAACATCATCATCGTTGTCGTCATCATCACCATCACCATCACCCTCACCATCGCCATCACCATCATCATCTTCATCATCATCATCATCATCAGCAGCAGCATCATCATCATAATTACCATTATCGTGTTTAGCATCATCATCAGCGTCATCATCAGCTTAGTCGTCCTCATCATCATCGTCATCATCATCATCAGCATCATCACCATCACCGTCATCATCATCATCATCATCAACCTCTTCCTCGCCCTCATCCCCATCCTCAAACTCGTGCTCCTCCTCCTGCTGCTCTTCCTCCTTCTACTCCTCCTCCTCCTCCTACTCCTCCCCCTCCTCCCTTCTCCTTCTCCTCCTCCTGCTCCGTCATCATCATTAACAACAGCACCATCATCGTCATCATTGCCACCACATCATCACAGCCTCATCATCATCAGCAGCATCAGTATCATCATCACAACCATCATCATCATCATCATCATCATCATCATCAGCAGCAGCAGCAGCAGCATCATCACCATCGTCATCGTTATCAGCATCATCATCATCATCATCATCATCATCATCAGCATCAGCATCATCATCAGCATCAGCATCATTGCTATCATCATCATCATCATCGTCATCATCAACATCATCAGCGGCAGGATTATCATCGACAGCATCGTCATCATAGCATCATCGCCGTCATCGGCATCGTCGTCATCATCACCATTGCCACTACCACCACCACCACCACCACCACCATCGTCATCCTCATCATCATCATCATCATCATCATCATCATCATCATCATCATCATCATCATCAGCACCATCCTCATCAACATCAGCATCAACATCAGCATCGTCATCATCCTCATCATCATCGTCATTATCGTCATCATCATCACCGTCATCATCATCACCATCATCAGAGACAGCATCATCATCGTCATAATCAGCAGCATCATCATCCTCATCACCATCATAACCAGCATCCTTATCAGAAGCAGCATCATCACCACCATCATCCTAGCAGTCATCATCGACATTAGATATCTAACCATCACCATCACCATCGACATTACCATCGACATCATCACCATCACCCTAATCATCATCATCAGCAGCAGCATCATCAGCAGCAGTATCACCATCATCATCATCATCATCATCATCATCATCATCATCATCAGCATCATCAGCAGCAGCACTGTCATCATCATCAATGCCATCGCCCCATCGTCCTCATCATCCTCACCATCATAACCTTCCGCATCATCCTCCTCGTCCTAAGAATGGTCATCTTCCTCCTCCTCCTCCTCATACATCTCCTCCTCATCCTTCGCTTCCTCCTCCTCCTTCTGCTGTTCATCCTTCTCCTCCTCCTCCTCATGCTCCTCATCCTCATCTTCATCATCATCAGCATCAGCATCATCCCCGTCGTCGTCGCCGTCGTCATCATCAACAACACCATCATCATCATCATCATCATCATCATCATCATCATCATCATCAACATCATCATCAACAACAACACCATCATCATCAGCATCATCATCGTCACTATCGTCACTATCGTCCACTTCCTCCCCCCCTGCCTCCTCACTCATTTGTCCTCTTCCTCATGTGGATCCCTCCTGATTGCCTCGCGCGAACACAAGTTCTTCTACGGCTACCACCGCTACTCTACTACCCCTACGAATAGCTGATGATACCGCAACTAGTGCGACTAGTACTACAACTCTGACTTCAAGTAGTGCTACTACTAGTAGCACTACTGTCCTTGCTACAACAAGTACTGCGAATAGTAACAGCACGACTACTACGACCACTGTAGCTACGATGACTACTACACCACTAGCACTACCACAAGAACCACCGACATCACTACAACTAAGGATGACACAGAACAGTAACTCCTGTTCTTCCTCCTCAGTCTCGTCTTCCAAACCATTAGCTGCCTTGATGCTTTCCTACTTTGCCTCTTCCTATCACAACTCACTGCAGCGGCTAACCGTTCTACCTATCAAGCCCACTGCGAAATCAACGGTTTCCGACTTCACGTTGCCGTGTGGCCGACAATAGCAAAAGAGTGGCGGGAATCGGACTCGGCGCCCAACGCGCACCAGAAACCGGAGTGCCACTGTGACGCTTGTCCCTCGTACGAAAAAGCACGGCAGCCCACCTCACGCCCACTTCGGGCGGGAGCTCGTCGCGTCCGAGCAGCGAAGGGGAAGCGCACTGACACGCCAGCAGTCGAGAACAGACGCGCACTGCAACCCCCTGTTCACTTTGCGTGTGCGTGTGAAGCGGCGGGGCGCGAGGGGGGAAGTGAGAAGGAGAAGACCCTCCTCAGAAGGCGGCGCGACCTCTCAAAGCCCCCGCGCCCGCTGAGAAGCTTCCCGTGCCCTCGGGGAAGGCGCCGAAGCCTCCGCAGAAGGCCCGGGGGACCTCCGAGCCCTCCGCGAAGGCCCGCCCCTGCTCGCGTCCCCCCCTTCGCCCGCCGCCGCGCGAAGCCAGCGTGTCGCGCCGAGGCGTGGTGGGCCAGCATCCGCGGAGCGACACGCGGAGCCGAAGCGGTCCTGGCCGCATCCTCGCGGCCTCGCGCCCCCGCGCCGCCCCCCTGGGAGGACGCGGCGGCCGACCCGGCATCGGCCGCGGCGCGCGAGGCGCGACGATCTTGGCGCCCCCGCGGGCAACCTGGGCTGGGACGCACAGGGACGCACTGGTGCTAGATGCCCTCCTGGGGAGGCGCGCGGCCGACCAGGAGCACGCAGCACACCCCTCTCGTGGTGCACCGCTTCCCGAGCGGCGTGGCCGGAAAGCGCCCGCCACGACGCCCGCCAAGATTTCTCGGTGCGCGCGTCGCCCCTGAGGGAGGAGGGGGGGGCGGGGGCGACGCACACATAGCATTAGCATGTCGGGGCGACGCCGATGGGCTCTCCCATGGTAGGGCAGCGCGTCCCCCGGCACGTTCGCCTCACCACGCGCACTCGTGCACCAGATCTGGCCCGAGAAAGCTTAGATGCCTCCTCCTCCTCCTCCTCCTCCTCCTCCTCCTCCTCCTCCTCCTCCTCCTCCTCCTCTCCTCCTCCTCCTCCTTCCTCTCCTCCTCCCCTCCTCCTCCTCCTCCTCCTCCTCCTCCTCCTCCTCCTCCTCCTCCTCCTCCTCTTTCCTCCTCCTCCTCCTCCGGGGACGAGGGAAGCGAGTCCCGAAGGGAGCGGGGCCTGGACCCCAGGGCTCTCCCCGGGACCAGCTCGTCGTCACGAGTCGCTGCTGGACGGCCCCGAGGCCCACCCCGAGAGCCGGGCGCAGCACTCTTTTCACAGCGGGCGTTCTCGCCCGGCTTCGGGCGCCGGGGCCCTCACAGATCGATCCTGGCTCGGAAGATGCCTCGGGAAGTTCGGCGAAGGAGGAGGAGGAGGAGGAGGAGGAGGAGGAAGACGACGACGAGGAGGAGCAGAAGGAGGAGAAGGAAGAGGAGGAGGAGGAGGAGGGAGACGAGGAGGAGGAGGAGGAGAAGAAAAGGAGAAGGATAAGGAGGAACGAGCAGAGGAAGGATGAGTAGGTAGGTAGGAGCTTCGGAGGGGAGGGGTAGGCGGGGCATTCTGGCTGAGAGAGGAGGCGGGAGTATTTCTTGGTGTGAGGATTAGGGAGGAGGAAAAGGGGAAGGGGGTCCAGGGGTCCGGCCAGGATATTTCTCGATGCTGCAGCGTTTTCGCGTCGTCGGGTCCTCAGGGCAACAAGCAAGGGCCCCAGGAGGCGGGAGCGGCGAGAGGTATCGGGGCCCGTTTTCCCTCAGGACCCCCTCCTCCCTCCCTCCTCCCTCCCCCTCGTCTCCTCTCCTCCTCCTCCTCCCTCCTTCCCTCCTCCTCCCCCTCCCCTCCCTCCTCCTCCCCCTCCGCCTCCGCCTCCTCCTCCTCCTCCTCCTCCTCCTCCTCCCCCTCCTCCTCCTCCTCCTCCACTCATTTCCTTATACATATAACTCCTCCCTGTCGCACCCCGAGGCCAGTTTAACAGCGATGTGTAGGAGCATATCTGGAAGCATTCCCCTTAAGATCCAGATGAGAATCCAGTTGTAGAATTCTGATGTTCTCGCAGTCGTAGTCGCATTCGCGATGACAGTCGCAGTGGCAACGGTAGTCGCAGTCACAGCCTCAGCCTAGCCTGCCTCAGCCTCAGCCTGCCTGCCTCAGCCTCAGCCTGCCTCAGCCTCAGCCTCAGCCTGCTTCAGCCTCAGCCTCAGTCTGCCTTCAGCCTCGGCCTCAGCCTCAGCCTGCCTCAGCCTCAGCCTGCATCAGCCTCAGCCTCAGCCTCAGCCTGCCTCAGCATCAGCCTGCCTCACCCTCAGCCTCAGCCTGCCTCAGCCTCAGCTTCAGTCCTGCTTCAGCCTCAGCCTCAGTCTGCCTTCAGCCTCGGCCTCAGCCTGCCTCAGCCTCAGCCTGCATCACCTCAGCCTCAGCCTCAGCCTGCCTTCCCAGCTACCTTTTCGCTCGCCCAGCCTAGCCTGCCTCTGCCTCAGCCTCAGCCTGCTTCAGCCTCAGCCTCAATCTGCCTTCAGCCTCGGCCTCAGCCTCAGCCTCCCTCAGCCTCAGCCTGCATCAGCCTCAGCCTCAGCCTCAGCCTCAGCCTGCCTCCGCATCAGCCTGCCTCAGCCTCAGCCTCAGCCTGCGTCAGCCTCAGCCTCAGCCTGCTTCAGCCTCAGCCTCTCTGCCTTCAGCCTCGGCCTCAGCCTCAGCCTGCCTCAGCCTCAGCCTGCATCAGCCTGAGCCTCAGCCTCAGCCTGCCTCAGCATCAGCCTGCCTCAGCCTCAGCCTCAGCCTCAGCCTCAGCCTGCTTCAGCCCCAGCCTCAGTCTGCCTTCAGCCTCGGCCTCAGCCTCAGCCTGCCTAAGCCTCAGCCTGCATCAGCCTCAGCCTCAGCCTGCCTCAGCATTCAAAATGTGGCCCGGGAATGGAGTTCTGGAAACTCGAACAACACGAGGTGGCCTGCAGTTGGCTCCGGGCATTCAAAATCATGCCCAGGAGCGGAGTTCTGGGAACTCGAAGACCACGAAGTGGCCTCCAGTTGGCTCCGGGCATTCAAAATCATGCCCAAGAATAGGTTCTGGGAACTCGAAGACCACGAAGTGGCCTACGGTTGGCTCCGGGCATTCAGAATCATATGGGATTCTGGGAACTTGAAGAACACGAAGTGGCCTACAGTTGGCTCCGGGCATTCAAAATGTGGCCCGGGAATGAGTTTTGGGAACTCGAAGAGCACGAAATGGCCTACAGTTGGCTCCGGGCATTCAACATGTGGCCCGGGAATGGAGTTCTGGGAACTGGAAGAGCACGAAGTGGCCTACAGTTGCCTCCGGGCATTCAGAATGTGGCCCAGGAATGGAGTTCTGGGACCTCGAAGACCACGAAGAGCGTAACTGTTTGCTTAAAACGACGTCCGCGGATTCTCCCCGGATCGTGCCCAGACCCCCCTGGGGAGTCATGATGCTTTCTTTTGAAATCATTAGAAACCTATCAGTCTTCGCTGTTAAGTAAAATGTGGTTCTCGCCTGAGCGCCGCCCACATTCGTTTTTGAAATGTGCAAGCGTTTCACGGATTCGCATGATCCACGTACCATAAATAATGTGATTAAAAGATTCAAGATTATGAGGGCGCAACAGTTACGTTGATTCGCGGCGTTAAAGTCCTAAGAATGGCGTTATTGCACGATCCCTGATCGTCAAGACGCAACAATCACGTTGATCTGTGGCGTTGGAATCCCGAGAACAATGTTTTGGCATGCTTCAGGAACCTCAAACGGCTGTCTTCCAACGAAGCAGTTCCTTCTGTGGAAATGAACCCTCGTAGGTGCCTGTGACGAGGGAGCTTGGAGGGAGGGTTGATTCTAACATCGTTGACTCCTCCTCCTCCTTCTCCTCCTCCTCCTCCTCCTCTTCCTCCTCCTCCCCCTCCTCCTCCTCCTCCTCCTCCCCCTCCATTTCCTCCTCCCATATCCCCCATCTCTTCCATCTCCTCCTCCTCCTCCTCCTCCTCCTCCCCTCCTCCTTTCCTCCTCCTCTCCTCCTCCTCCTCCTTCCACAATTACGCAATATGAATACTACTCTCCCTCTTCCCCTGATGACGTCTTGGGAATAGTCGCCCCCCCCCCCGCGTACTGTCTTTTTACACAGAGGTTTCCCCGGAGTTGGGTTTCCGCCTACATTTTTCCAAAATGCTGCTCTCGCTGAGGCGCTGGCCTCATTTTCGGGCCCCGCTCGTTCCGAATCGTGCTCCCGCTGCAGCGCTGGCATCATTTCCGCCGGCGCCCGGGCTGCACGCCCGAACCGGCACCCGGGCCGGCGCCCGGGCCGGGTCCGGAGCCGGTTCCGGCCGGCGCCGGAAAATCGAGTTCCGAGGCGGCGCCGAAAAAAGGCCATTCTAATACACATTCTCCTTTTGAAAATGCTGAATTTCTTCTTCCGGCGCCCGGGAGGCCTCCCGGGCCGATTCCGACGCCCAGGCCGGCGCCCGAGCCGGCGCCCGGGCCAGGTGCCCGAGCCGGCGCCTGGGCCGGCGCCGGGGCCAGGTCCGGAGCCGGTTCCGGCCGACGCCGGAAAATCGAGTTCCGAGGCGGCGCCGAAAGAAGGCTAATACACATTTTTCTTTTGACAGTGCTGAATTTCTGCTTCTGGCGCCCGGGGAGCTTTCCCCGGAGTTAGGTTTTCGCCTGCATTTTTTCCCCAAAATGCTGCTCTCGCTGAGGCGCCGGCCTCATTTTCGGGCCCCGCTCGTTCCGAATCGTGCTCTCGCTGCAACGCTGGCCTCATTTCCGTGCTTCCCCGGCCGATTCCGGCGTGCTTCCGCTCGTTCCGAATCGTGCTCCCGCTGCATTTCCGCGCGTCCGCTCGTTTCGACTCGTGCTCCCGCTGCAGCGCTGGCGTCATTTCCCGTGCCATGCCACGGCATGCAATGCAATGCTAGGTTGATACTACGCTTCGCGGTGCTCTTCTACGCCATGCCATGCCGTGCTCTACAATGCATCGCGTACCCTTTCGGGATCATCGCCCTGCTTGACATCCGACTGTGCAAGTAGAGAGGGGATCTGCGCCATGGTAAGGGATGGGAGGGAGGGGTAGGATGTCAGATATGACGCGAGCGCACCTAGCTTGTCCTCCTCCTCCTCCTCCTCCTCCTCCTCCTCCTCCTCCTCCTCCTCCGCCCTCCTCCTCCGCCCTCCTGCTCCGCCTCCCCCTCCGCCTCCTCCTCCGCCTCCTCCTCCGCCTCCTCCGCCTTCCTCCTCCTGCTCCTCCGCCTCGTAGGGTTCCTCCTCCTCCTCCTCCTCCTCCTCCTCCTCCTCCTCCTCCTCCTCCTCCTCCTCCTTCTCCTCCCATGGCGAATCGGAGTGGGACGCCCCACCTCGCGCATCGCGCCCCGCAATGCGCGACGCGCGGTTACCGTCGCGCCCCCGCGCCACCCCCTTGTTGAAAGGTACAACTGACTCGCCTCGTGACGACCTGTGCGTTGGTCTGTGGCACCGCGTGGGTCGTTCGACCGTGCACGATCGCGGCCTCCTGGGAGCGCAGACCGTTCGACACCGGCCGAACCCTGGCCACCGGCGGCCTTCAGCCTTGAACGCCCGCGCTGCGGTCACCCGCCGCGTCGCGGGCACGAGCCTGCCGTAACCGCTCCGGCCCCGACCGCGTCGCTCGAAGCGTGACTCCCTTCACGCCCCTGGAGGCGACCTGAACCGGAACGGCAAGGCGCGACATGGGCTGCCGCACCAACCCCTGAGCCGAGCTGGCCTGCTGCTTCAGCTTCGCGCGCTGGGCCGAGAGGGCCGCCAGCTCGGAGGAGGTGCCGTGCGTCTCCAGCGTGGCCAGCGAGGCGTGCCTCCGCGCGCCTGCGGAGGCGAGGCCCCAGGGTGTTGTCAGGAGGCCTCAGATGGCATCCAGGGCATGCTCCTCCTCCTCCTATCCTCCCTCCTCATCTCCTCCTCTCACCTCTCCCCCTCATCCTCCTCCTTCCCTCTCCCTCCTCCTCCCTCCTCCTCCTCCTCATCCTCCTTCCTCCTCCTCCTCCTCCATCTCCTCCTCCTCCTCCTCCTCCTCCTCCTCCTCCTCCTCCTCCTCCTCCTCCTCCTCCTCACCCTCACCCTCCTTTCCTTTCCCTTATAAATGACTCCTCTTGTCGCACCCCGAAGCCAGTCGGAAGGGTGGCCGAGCGTTTCGACTGAGACAGCCTTTCCATGTATGAACCTGAAGCTCCAAAGTCGGCAACAGTTTCACACATGGAGGGCGGGTGGTTTTCAAAATGTGTTTCTCGCCTTAGTGCCGCGCACGTTCGTCTGTAAAATGTGCAAGAGCTTCACGGAGTGAGGGCAGGTCGTTTTCAACATGAGGCCCTCGCCTTAGCGCCGCACACATTCGTCCTAAAAATCTGCAAGAGTTTCAAGGATTGAGGGCGGATCGTTTCCAAAATGTGGCTCTCGCCCTAGCGCCGGGCACATTATCCTTGAAAATTGCTTGAGCCTCACGGATTGATGGCGATTCCTTTTCAAAATATGTTTTTGCCCGGGCAGCCGGCGACGACTCTTGAACACTTGAGGCGCGATTCCGGGCAGAACAAATGATGAAGAGTTGCCGGGATGCGCCGCTAGCTACCTCCGCCAGATGCGCCAAGAGAGGCGGAGAGGAACAGGAAGGAGAACGAAGGGGAACAAGACGAGAAAAAAAGAAACGACAACGCCAAGGACAAGAGACACGGAGGCGACGCGCGACGAGGGGAACAAGACGGAAAGAAGCAGAACGACAAGACGAAGAAGAGGACGAGGACGACAATGCCGGCCCGCGGCGAAAATCCTGCGACAGAAATCACCATACTATATGATGTCGTCCACCGTGCGTAGTGCACAATAGAAGCTAACAGCGCCAAAGACCAGACTGAATCCGCCGACCCCTTGGGGTTCATCGGCGTGTGGGATGTTCCCCCTCCCCAAACCCCTCCCCCGGGAGCCCGGTCCGGTCCATTTGGAGGGGGGGGGGGGGGTCCGGCCGGACGGGCCGGACGGGCCGGAACCCCCCGGAGGTCTCATCCGCTCCCGAAAAACGTGGAAAAACACGTGAAATTCGTGTAGGGACGCGTCTGGTGGCCTCGAAATGGGTTTGGGACGCCCCACGAGCGCTCCAAGACGTCCACGTTTGCCCGAAGACGGGCCACGAGGCGTCCTCGACGGCAGAAGAGGTCCCCACGAGCTCCCCCGAGGGCCTCCGAGATGCGTTCCACAAGGGTCCCTAGACGCCAAAATTGGGCCATTCCCATGGTGAAATGCACATTTTAAAAAATTCAGCTTTGGATCGTTCCGATGCTCCCCGACGGCCCAAGAGGCTCCCAAACCCGCTCCCAGACGGCCCCAGAAGCCTCGCAGAGGGTCCCCCACAGACCCCTAGAGGGCCCAAGATGGGCCAACAGGCGTCCAAGACGGCCCAAGAGGGCTCCGAAAACGGCCCCAAAAGCGTTCCAGGAGCGCTCCGAGCTGCTTCCCCGAAGCTCCACATGGTCCCAAACGGTCCAAGAGCGATCAGAAACATCGACGACGACCTCCCGACGGCTCACGAGGCCTCCCCAGACGCCCCCACAGGCATCCAAGATTCCCCCCAAGAGGCCCTCTAGACGCAGAAAATCGTTTGTTTCCTTTGTAAAACGTATATTTTTTCACACGTGCGATTTTGGGGGCTCCCGAAAAACGTGGAAAAACACGTGAAATTCGTGTAGGGACGCGTCTGGTGGCCTCGAAATGGGTTTGGGACGCCCCACGAGCGCTCCAAGACGTCCACGTTTGCCCGAAGACGGGCCACGAGGCGTCCTCGACGGCAGAAGAGGTCCCCACGAGCTCCCCCGAGGGCCTCCGAGATGCGTTCCACAAGGGTCCCTAGACGCCAAAATTGGGCCATTCCCATGGTGAAATGTACATTTAAAACAATTCAGCTTTGGATCTTTCCGATGCTCCCCGACGGCCCAAGAGGCTCCCAAACCCGCTCCCAGACGGCCCCAGAAGCCTCGCAGAGGGTCCCCCACAGACCCCTAGAGGGCCCAAGATGGGCCAACAGGCGTCCAAGACGGCCCAAGAGGGCTCCGAAAACGGCCCCAAGAGTTCCAGGAGCGCTCCGAGTTGCCTCCCCGAAGCTCCACATGGTCCCAGACGGTCCAAGAGCGATCATAAACATCGACGACGACCTCCCGACGGCTCACGAGGCCTCCCCAGACGCCCCCACAGGCATCCAAGATTCCCCCCAAGAGGCCCTCTAGACGCAAAAAATCGTTTGTTTCCTTCGTAAAACGTATATTGTTTCACACGTGCGCCTTTGAGGGTGACCCCCGCTCCTGCACGGCCCCAGAGCCCCCCAAACCCGCTCCCAGACGGTCCAAGACGCCTCCAAGAGGGTCCGTACATAGCCCTCGAGGGCCCCAAGACGCGCCAACACACGTCCAAGACGGCCCAGAAGGGCTCCGAAAACGGCTCCGAGAGCGCTCCAGGAGCGGTCCGAGTGGCCTCGCAGAGAGCCCCACATGGTCCTCGACCGTCCAAGGGCGATCAAAAACGCTGACGACGGCCTCCAAACGGCTGAAGAGGCCCCCAAGACGCCCCAAGAGGCATCCACGATGCGCCCACAGAGAGCCTCTAGACGCAAAAAATCCTTCGTTTCCTTTGTCAAACGTATGTTGTTTCACACGTGCGCCTTTTGGGGTGTCCCCCGCTCCTGGACGGCCCCAGAGCCACCCAAACCCGCTCCCAGACGGCCCAAGACGCCCCCAAGAGGGTTCCCACAGAGCCCTCGAGGGCCCCAAGACGCGCAAACGCACGTCCAAGACGGCCCAAAAGGGCTCCGAAAACGGCTCCGAGAGCGCTCCAGGAGCGGTCCGAGCGGCCTCGACGAGAGCTCCACATGGTCCTCGACGGTCCAAGAGCGATCCAAAACGCTGACGACGGCCTCCCGACGGCTGCAGAGGCCCCCCAAGACGCCCCACGAGGCTTTCACTATGCGCCCCTGGAGGGCCTCTCGCTGTATAAAATCGCCCGTTCTCTTCGTCAAACGTGTATTTTTCGCACGTGCGCCTTCTGGGGCGCTCCGGGGCGGCCCGAGAGCCTCCCAAGACCGCACCAAGACGGTCCAAGAAGCTTCCACGAGGGCCCCGCGACAGGAGAAGGAGGGAGGGGAAGAGGAGCAGGAGGAGGATAAGGAGGAGGAGGAAGAGGACAAGGCGGGGGAGGAAGAGGAGGAGAAGGCCGGGAAAGAAAGGGGGATAAGGAGGAGGAGAAGGCGGGGGAGGAGGAGGAGGAGGAGGAGGAGGAGGAGGAGGAGGAGGAGGAGGAGGAGGAGGAGGAGGAGGAGAGGGACGAAGGGCGGGAGGAGGAACAGCAGGAGAAGGACAAAAAGGAGGAGGAGAAGAAGGCGGGGAAGGGAAGGGAAGAAGGACGTGGACGAGGAGGAGGAGGAGGAAGGGCAGGAGAAGGAAGAGGAGGAGAGGCAGAAAGAGGAGCAAGAGGGAGGAGCAGGGGGAGGAGGAGAGGAGGAGAGGGAGCCGATCATCGTCATCAGTGTCGTGATCATCAACGACGTCATTGCCATCGACAAGGTCAGCCCAAACATCTCCGAACATTAACAGTTAGCGGGACATCCCGCTTGGAAACCGCCGACAACCGTAAGATGTCTCTGGGGTGTAACATACTTCCCTGGCTCCGGCACCCGTGCAAGGCCCCAAACACAACCCAAAAAACCTCCCTGTGCCGTCTTGGGGTTCGCCTGGGCCGTCTGGAAGCCCTCTGGGCCAGTTTGCGACCCATGTCGGCTCCCCTTCTCGCTGTGACGGGCCCTGAACAACCTCATTTTCCCACGGTTTGCAAGGAAGCTGTGGTGAACGATCCCGGGGAAAATCCAAGGGGTCGGCGGATGTGGCGGAAGCCTGAAGAATCAATAGGATCTTGTGACGAAAATAGCTACCAAAGAACCTCAGCTGCCGCGGAGACTTTGCCGACGGATCAAGGTCGAACAGAGGGTCAAAATCCAAGATAAAGTATGTTATGGCACTGTGCCGTCAGGACGGGCGAGGAGACGGAGGGGGGGAAGGAGAAAGAGACAGAGAAGACGGAAGGAAAATGAAACGCCGACCCTCCAACATGGCTGGTGGCTGAACTCGGCAGGGGGCTCACGGAGCCCTGGCGAGAGCCCAGCGGCCAGCCGAGCGTGGAGGTAGACGCAGTCTCCTCGAACGCCTTGAACTGGGACTGCGTGGAGCCGTTTGCGCCGAATTACTGTCGTGAGCTTTAGGGCCGCGCACATTCGCCTCAAAATGTTGCAAGAGTTGCACTGATTCTCGTGGCAAACGTACCAAAAACGGTTCTGGAACGATTCAGGACTGTCAGGGCGCACCAGTTGCGTTGACTCGCGATGTTGAAGTTCCAGGAATGGTGTTCTGGCACGATTTAGGATCGTCATGACGCAACAGTCACTCTGGTTCGTGGCGTAGAAATCCTGAGATGGTGTTTTGGCACGCTTCAGGATTTTCCATCGGTTGTCTCCCAACGGGGCACTTCCCCAAGTGGAACTGACCCTCTTTAGGTGCCTATGAACAGTGAGCTCGGAGGGAGTGGTTATTCCAAAATCGTTGATGAGTCTTGGGTTTGCACTGGTCCTCCTCCTCCTCCTCCTCCTCCTCCTCCTCATCCTCGTCCTCCTCCTCCTCCTCCTCCTCCTCCTCCTCCTCCTCCTCCTCCTCCTCCTCCTCCTCCCCGGAATGGTCGCGACCCCACCCCCCTGGGTGCCAGTCCCTCGCCGCGGGCCGCCTGGCAATGGCCCCCCTGGAGGGCCCGAAGACGCCCCCTCCCCCCAAGA